ATATATATATATATATATATATATATATATATATATATATATATATAATTTTAGAGCATTTTCCAGTTAGCCAGAAAGGGAAGGTTGTTAAAGTGAAGAATGTGGATCTTCCCTCAAAAGATTTGATGGATCAGGTCTGGGAGAAAACTGTACAGTATATAGGAAATGCTTCTCACAGGAAGGGACCCTGGGCTGCCGTCTGTCCTTTAAGATTTCAGTGGAAACCCTGCTCACTCATATGGTGCTTTATGTGTGTGCACTGTAAGTGGTTAGCAATACCAGGCTTCAGGGTCCCGAACGGGTGTCTGTGTGCGAGGCAGGGTTCGGTTAGAGAGACGTGTCGGGAACTTAGGGCTTAGAGAAAGTCCTTTCATTCTATATTTTTCTCTTTAGGATTATTTTGCTTATTCTTAATCTTTTATATCCCCATGTTAATAAAAGGTTAGAATAGGTTGACTGATTTTTACTAAGAAAGCAAAAGGTGGCTGTTTGATTTGGCATTCATTGACCAACTCAACAGAAATGGCCATCTTTGTAATATTGGGTTTTGACAATTGATATGCATGTATATTGGTTTTCACAGACACCATAAGGAAGCTATCAGGTGTGTCATATGCAAACTTAGCTGAAGGTAGGAAGAGAAAAGAGTTGTGAGAAGCCTTAAATGCAAATTGTCTGGGTTTAGCACATAGGTGCTTTGGAAACAGAGCAGATATTTGTGTTGTGGGACACTAGGCTTAAAGCATGTCTTTATGAAGAATTGTTTTAACACACTCACAAAAATTGTCCTTCGGTGGGAGCCCACCTGACATGGAGAATTTGAGAAAGTGTCCAGCTCCTTCCAGTTCTCTGCACTTTGTCTCTTTAACAATGCCCGGACCCTCCACAGGGTTCTGGCTTGTGTACCTGCTCAGACCTGTTCAGACCCACTAATGACTCTGTCTGGTACAGAATCTTCCAGGCGCTGTCTTCGATACTCTTATCAAAGAATACTCTTATATGAGAAATCTTCCCTGGTGACTGTGCTCAGTTTTGGCATACTTTAGGTATTTAAGAGCTGACATAGTTACCTGACATCTCTAGACAACTGCCATGAAACATGAAGAAAGGGGAACATTCTCTCAAATGTTTAGAAACCTGCACATTTTAAGTCTAGATTTAAACCAGGATGGTTGGTGGGCTAGGTACATGGCTCCCTGTAACATGAAATGGGTAAGAAGATGCGTCTGGGGTGGAATGGTTCTCTGTGGGTGAGTGTTCTAAGTGGGGGGCTGTGGGGAAGGCTTAAAGGACAGCAGGAGGGCCTAAGAGCCTGCACAGCATGGAAGAAGTGTTGTTAGCAACGGTGCCCCTCTCTGGCTGAATTGTAGCTCTTAGTTGTATGGAAGGCATTTTATGGACATAGCCTAGTATCAAGAAAACCAAAGTGAGGTTTTCAGGGAACTGTTTATTATCCTTTGAAGAAGACATACTGTTTGTTTAAGCAAACAGGCTTGGTGAAATGAAGTGACTTGTTCAAAGCCACAGGGCTGCTGAAACAGTCAGAGTCAGACCATGATCTCTCACGTCTGACTCCATAGCACCGACTTTATCCACCATCCCTAGTCCCAGCTAGTGTCGGAGTGCGGAGATTTGGAATCCCAGTTCATATTCAGCTCCACAGTCTTGACATCATATTAGAACCTCCTGGGACATTTGCAGGAAATGCTGACGTCAGATACTGTGAGGCATTGGTCAGAGGCAGGCCCGAGGCATTAATGTTTCATCACCCTATCTCAGTGATTCTCCATGCTGCCGTTATGGAGACCCTGTGTACTTAGGGTGTTTCTGTGAGTGTTAGCTTGACACACTCACAAGTGCAGAGACAAGCAGATGCCAGCTTCCTATTCCAGGCTCACAATCTGATCTAATCATGCAACTGTATGCAACAGAGACAATCTGTCTGCAATAAAAGTCATTCTTACTGCCTGGAGGTGCTCAGCACAAGGCTTGATGAGAGGCTGGCTTGTTCACCCATTCAGACTTAGTGACCTGCCAGTGATGCCTTGTCTGATGTAGAACCTTCCAGGCTCCATCTTTGCTACTCTTACTCAGTATGAGGGATCTTCCTGGAGACTGACTGGCCTCAGCTTTGCCAACTTTGGATTTTTAAGGGTGTAATGCAGACATCTCTAGGCAACTATGTCTACCATGAAACGTGAAGAAGAGGAGCAATCTCTCAGATGTTTAGAAATGTGTACAGAACAGTATTGTCTCCTGGTGCCCTCACAGCACGGAGTAGCTAAGAGGAAGCTGCTGTGGAGCAGTGGTTGCTTGTGGGTGGGCAGCTAAACCGGAACTGAGGACAGTCACAGGCCTCAAGAGCTCACATCCCATGGGAGGGGTGATGTTAACATGACACTGGTCGTAGGTAGCATTATGAAATCACCAGATGGGAGACGGATGTTTCCTGCCAGTGTCTGGGATGCTCTAAAGAACTATTCATCATCCCTAGAGTCCCCAAGCATGTTCATAAGTGAAGGAAAGAATAGTCAAGTAGTAGCCCAGCCATTTTCACAAGGCAGCCCCTGCACACAGATGCTCCCAGCTTCAGTTCTCAAGACAGTGATGCAACTCACTGGTTTCAGGAGCTGCATCTCTACAATCTCTCCCTGGATTTAACCTAATTCTATGCTAGGCAATCAGGTGCTGTATATAGATTATAACATGACATTTGTTCTAAGATGGAAGTCATTAAAGGTTATTCACTTGGAGTGTTCACAAGCCAGCATGTCTTTACATGTGTCAGGAAGGGACATCCTTTCTCCTTGATGTCAGGGTAACTCTCATAGTGATAGCACTATTTTTAAAAGCAATATATTCATAACATGACTTTCTGTTAAAAATAGTACAGCAGCACTTTGAAGAAAAAAAACCTCTATATCTAATCTACTAGAAGATTCCTAAGGAAAACAAAACAATAACTCCTAGTGGAAGACTTTGTGTGAGTACAAGCTGGGAAGAAATGTCTTAATTTGGATGTCAGAGATATAACAGTAGTTTCAAAATGTATTCATGTTTTTCCCATTTATACTTTGAATTAGGGAAACCTATAAAGACATAAAAATAAGGCTTTCCTCCTTAGTGGTATGTGACTTCTTTCCATGGTGAGGATGTTTACAGTACAGATCTTAGGTGCCATGGAGAATAATAGAAAAGGGAAAAGATCTGTTGGCATCTTCAGTATGAGTATGTGTAGGGTTATGGGTCCTGCGTCCGCTCTGCCACAGGGCACGCCCGCTTGGGAGGCAGGACGAGGGAAGTGTTGACCTTGCTTACCCTGTGCTGTCACCAGGCAGGTGTTGGTCCATAGAGAAGCTGTGGGACACCGCTCCGGGGAGGGGGAAGCACAGTCTAAGGTGCGGGACAGCAGAAGCTGGTTTGGAGGTCCCTGGGCCTATGACGGGGCCAGAGCTGTCTGGTTCTCAGGCTCTTGGACAGCCAGGCGCAGCTGAGAGCCGCGGAAGAGCTGGGAACAGAATAGGGGGTCGATGGGCTGGATCTAGCCCGGGGCCAGAGGGGAAAATTGGGGAGCTCTGGCTGGTCCGACGGGGAGAGCCTTTGACTTGATGGCTGCAGGCTTGGGCCTGGTGGTGGCCATGGCTGGAAGTGCAGAGAGGTCTTCTATGGGAGACTAGACAGCCACTCTATAGGCGAAGCCCTTTTCCATGGCTTCTTATGGTTTTAAGACATTTATTGTTATGGCGGAAAGTGGATGAGTAAAGTCACACCCCACTTCTCAGGGCGGGCCTGAGGTTAAATACATTTTGCAGGGAGAAGTGTCTGGGAAGGAGAGTTTATTGGCTAAGCCCTCCAGGCCTTTTTGGGGTGTTGCCCTTACATGACTGATGGCCGCAAATCTATGGAGGCCTGCGGCTAGTGACAGGGACTTGGTGCCCAGGAACAGGCATAGCACCTACCGTCCCTTCAGTATTTTCAGGATTTCAAGCCTTAGCTCAACTGGGAACCAGGCTACCTTTCACAGTCTCACAAGTATGCAGCTAGTTAAGTATGGATTTTATGTGATACTTAAATGTCTAGTTATGCTTTCCCAACCAGGATTCCATTTTATAGTCTTAGGATACTTGAAAGGGTCACAATTAGGGTTGGGCTAAAATTTGGCATCTATGATTGAGCTGATCAGAGTAAGAGTTTGGATTCAAGAAAATACCAAGGATATGCCAGGTTCTAAGAAACAGAAATTGGTGGAGGTTAACATGGGGCAGGACTTCAGTATGCATCAGGAGTCAGTGAGGTGAGAATGGGCCTCTCTCCAAGGCCAAGGACCTTATGTCCATCGATACACTTACAATCTCCAGATGTAGGCTGTTTGTGCTGAGCAGTGAGCTGGGGTTCCAGCCAGCCAATGGAAAGAGACTGACTACAGCTTTTCTTAGGGAGGACCCCAAGGACTAGTGGCTGCAAGCATGGTCCTGGTGGTGTTTGGAGAATCTTCGAGCCTTAGATAATTGTTCTTTTATCAGACTACCATGCAGTACAAAAACTACCATTCTTCCCTCCCTCCATAATTTAAACTTAGTACAGTGGGGCTGGGGACATGGTTGAGTGGTTAAGAACATGTGCTGCTCTTGCAGAGGACCTGGTTTAGTTCCCAGCGCCCACATGGCGGTTCACAACTGTTTGTAACTCCAGTTCCAGGGGAGCTGATGCCCTCTTTTGGCCTTTGTGGGTACTGCATGCACATGGTACACAGACATATATGCAGGCAAAACACACACACATACACTCACATATCACATTAAAAATGCTATAGTAATGCTTCCACTTGGTGAAGTTGGAGACTGGATTGTTTATGAATAAAGTTCACCTTCTGAGTGCTGAAAACATGATTTATAATGGTGATATAAATATATAAAATAGCTGGATGTGATAGTACACACCTTTAACCCAAGTGTTGGGAAGGTAGAGGTAGGTGGATCTGTGTGAGTTTGAGGCTAGCCTGATCTATATAGTGAGTTCTAGGCTAGCCAGGCTACGTAGAAAGACCCTGTCTCAAACAATAAAACAAAGTGGGTGCAGGGAGTATATAAAATGTGTTTCATTGGTCCTAACCTCATAAATTGGGCTGTACACAGCTCCTGGTAATCCAGAGCTATGCAAATATATGGAGTTGTTCACCCCACAGCAAACTGCCCCGGACTGCTCAGGATGAAATGAAAGAAAAGACAACTTTTGTTGTCATTGTTCAAAGAACACTTGCATCTCTTCTTGTAAATTATAACGTTATGATCTAGTCAGCAAACAGTGTGAGGCTCTCACATGTGACAGTCACCTGACTGGCCAGCTTCACCTCTATCCAGAGGGACCCCAGAGTGTCAGCATGACCTGTCTGGGTAGAGTGGAAAGTGTGTGGAGGAACAGAGGCAGAGCAAAATTGTGTCAGAAGTGTTGGTATAGACTGTAAGAGTAGGAATTTGAAATCTTTTCCATGGAAAAAGTGTACATTTAATTTTAACATTTAATTCAAAATGTCTGAACTCCAAATAAACTTAAGGATGTCTATTGAAGCTCCCTGCATGGATAGTCCTTCCTCTTATCATATGTTTCCATCCACTAATTGATTGGCACTCATTCCATCAAAGGGTTGTGTAATTTAGAACAATTGACAATAAAAAGCGAAGTCAGTTTCTCCCACCTGCCTTTTTGCTTCATTCACTTATGATTTAAATGCCTCACATAAATGAGCTTATTCTTGGATCAAAGGTATTGATTGTCTCTTTGAGGGTTTTAAACATATTGGAAAATTCTATACGGCATGGTGCAGGGGATATCTTCAGAGAGGCTCCCTAAGGACAAAGGCCTGACCTGGAATATCACAGATACTGATTGTTCCGAGCTGGCCTAGAGAAAAAACAGAACCTGTGGATCACACTCTTATTTCCAGTAATTAAGCTGGCCTCACATTTATTTGGTTCAATATCAAAAATCAAACAAAACCCACTGTTTCCTCAAAGCTGTGTTAAACAAAACTCTGTAAACTTCTCCTTACTTTTAGCTAGCTTATCTGTTGGTGCATGGCAACATTGTAACAATGAAGTTACCAGTAGGAAAGCCCTCATCAAATAATGGCACCCGGGCATACAGCTAACCTTCTGAAGCCTTGGTTAACTTGTTTGTAAACTGAATGTACTGGGATGGTTTTGAGTGTTAAATGAGATAAAGTAGCCAGATTATTATCAGAGTATTTTCTATATAAAGCATTCAATATGTGGTATGTTGTTGAGATTATTGTTTATTTGGGTCAGAGCCCTCTGCCCCATTCTAGGACTCTGACCTTCATATTTTGTTCTAGGTCTCATCATCTTTTGAACATACTTACTGAGACATAATTTGTATATTATAAAATTCACTCACTTAAAGTATACAGTTAACTAAGAAATTTAAGAGACATTTGATCACCACCATGATCTAGTTTTAAAACCTCTCATCACTCTTGAAAGAATTTTTTTGTTGTTTGGTTTTTTTGAGAGAGGATTTCTCTGTATAGCCCGGGCTGTCCTGGAACTCACTCTGTAGACCAGGCTGGCCTCAAACTCAGAAATCCGCCTGTCTCTGCCTCCCAGGTGCTGGGATTAAAGGTGTGTGCCACCACCGCCCGGCTTGAAAGAAATTTCTATCTCCTAGTAGTCCCTCCTCATCCCTCTTCCCAGAATTCCCCATAGCCACAGACATCCACTCACCTACTTTCTGTCTCCACAGACTTGCTTCTTTGAAAAATTTAAATCAATGCAGTAATACAAGATATAGTCTCTGATTGACTCTTTTTCGTGTTTTCAAAGTCCAATTATATTGTTACTCATTATTTAGTTGGTATATACTGTGATTAAAAATATTCTGAATCTTATTTTTGCATCCATCAGTTTGTGAACATTGAGTCTTCCTAATTCTTGGCCATTATGACCAATGTTGCAATGCGCATCCGTGTGCATTTCACACGGACATGTGCGTTCATGGTTTTCTGGGAATAAGAAGGCTGAGTTGTATGGTAGCTGTGTGTAATACTAAGGAACTTCATGCTGTTTTTTCAGTGTCTATGTATATATTGCTTTGCATTCCTGCTAACTAATTTCTCCATAGCTTTGTCAACATCTTTGCTTTCTATTTAAAACTCTAAGCATCCTAATGAGTATGAAGCAGTGGCATCTTACTGTAGTGCTTGTTCTGCAGTCCCCTGGTTATGAACATTTGTTACGTCTTCTTTAGAGAAATACCTATTTAAATTCTCTGTACTTAAGTAAATTACCTTTTATTGTTGAATTATTTATGTACTCTGGATTGAGTTCCTTGTCATACATATGATTCATAGATATTTTGGTACACTCTGTAGATTGTCTTAAAATTATTTATATGAACTGAGAAATCTTGATTGTCTCATGTTTTGTATTTAAAGCGTCCATTTCTTTTAACTCATGTTCGGTTTACAAATTCTCTTTGCAGCCACTGTTCCTCTACCTTGCATTCCAGTCGGTCCACGATCCCCTGCAGGTCCCTGAGGAGTACATGGAACCATATGACTTCATCCAAGATAAACACAGACGTATTTTCGCAGGGATGGTGTCCCTCATGGATGAAGCAGTGGGCAATGTCACCAAAGCCTTAAAAAACCATGGGCTCTGGAACAACACAGTCTTCATCTTCTCCACAGGTCAGTTCAGCAGTTCTGGAAATCCATCTCTTGGGAAACCCTAGGATGTGTCATTCGGTAGGTAGAATGAAGGCAGACTGGAGACGTTAGCATTTCCACAGGAAAATAAATGCAAGTTCTGTAGTGGAGCCTTGGTTGCAATGTAAACCTTTCCTCCTTTTTCTTTAATACGCCACAAGTGTACTTGAAGACCAGACTGAGTGAACTAGCAGCCACCACATATCCACAGGTTACCAGGATGGCAGCTCCCCAGAGTGCTGGTCACCACAGCCTTCTGCTAAGCCTGCACGACTACTGCTAACCTAAGGTCTGTGTCCTGGCACAGGCTGGGGCACGATAAAGCCAGATTAGAAAAGGAGCAAATTAAGCTTAGTCTAGAGTCTCCAGGTGTAAGATATTTTTGCATTAAAATTGTTTTCTGACAATAAAAGTTACTTATTCAATAGAAAAAGTAAGTGCGAAAAAATGGTGAAAGAAAAATAAAACCTCTGTGGCCTGAGATGGCTGGAGACCACCTTCGTGGAGGCAGGCCACCAGAGATGAGTCTTCTAACATTCTTAGCTTCTTGTTCTGTTTTCTTTATACTTCGTTTATTGCTTGGAAAATTTATTTACCAGTCTTTCCTAAAGTTTGTGTTGAGTTTACCTCAATCACAGAGTTTTTTAATCACCAAGAAAGGGAGCTCTTGATAACTCCCTTTCTACAATTTCTTTTGCTTTATAGATGTAAAAAGTTTAATGTGTGTGAATATACTTGATATATATATGATACACATATCTGTATACATCTTTAAAGTTTGCAATATTCACAATATTATCTAAGTTTTCCCCCCAATATGTTTGCATTTTTGTTTAAGACAGTATTTCAGATAAGTGAATTCTTCAAATCTTTGTGACCTTGGCTAACACCAAAACCTTTGATTGGCAATTCCACTCAAGAGAGTAGAGCTTATCATTCAGCAGATTTCACAGAAACGTTACGGTGTAGGGGTGAGGCCACACAAAGAGGAATCATCTTGCTGGTCTCATGATTGCTTTCATTGTCCTTTTGTTTTGCTTTGTTTTTAATTAGGCATAGTTATCAAGTCTAGTGAGTTTAAGCACTTACTGTATACAAGACAATTTCAGGAGCCTTACATGGTTAAGTTTAACAACCTTCACAGTAACACATCCCTGAGGACTGCTCCCCCATCTTACAGATGTGAGAGCCAGACACAAAGAAACATTTAGCCCAGGGTCACACACATTTGGGCATGTCTGGTTTTGTGTTTCAGACTCCTTCGTGGCATTTTCTGGCCTCAATGATGACAGTCTGTTTCTTTATCTGAGACAGGGTCTGGTTACCCTATAGCCAAGCTGAACCGAGTTCTCAGTCCTCCTGTCTCAGCCTCTGCAGTGCTGGGCTCCTTTGTGCTCAACCCCATCCCTGGTGAGAGGGTGTTTGAGTTCTCATCTACCTCCGACATCCCAGAGCTGTTTCCATGGCGAGTTGCAGTGATGAGGATCCAGGCAGGGTGGGCCAGTGGTGTCTGCATGAGCAGCGCGTGCACTTGCTTTAGTGTCATTGACATACCATAATTTTCTAAGTGTTCCCTGTATTGATGAGGCTTGAATGTGAGATGTGGCTTGAATGTGGGTTGTTTTTGTTTGTTTGTTTTTTTGTTTTTTGTTTTTGTGTTTTTTGTTTTTCACACACAAAAAAAACCCAAATCAAAAAAAAAAGACATCTTAGATTAATTCTTTACGGAGTTTCTTATAATCTTGGAGTCAGCCTCAGTTTACTTCATTAAAAAGAAAAAAGCCCTTCTATCGTGTTTTTATCAGCATTGGTGTTGAAGGCCGTAGAGTCTCTACAAACAATGAGCAAAAAGGAGGCCAGGATGCTTAATAACAGTTTAGCAATTCTTCTTGAAAATGCCCTCATAATCACAAAAATTGAAGACTTTAAATTAAAAAACCCATGCCTTTGTCATGATTACACTGTCTCTGGACAGTGATTTTTCTGAGTATGGATTAATATGTCATTACTCATGACCTAAAAAGGGCTCAGAAATGAAGATGTTCACTCTGGAAACTGTTAAATATCTCAAAGTGAGTCTCACAGGAATAGAGAAATTGGTGTCAAGAATGTCTGGGAAGAGATGGGATAAATTTTTTTCATGATATGTGAGAATGAAAAAATATTTGAAGATCGGCGTTTCTCTCGTTCCATGATCTCAGATTTGCGAGCATTTTTTAAAACAGAGCTAATCATTTTATAAACATCTGTAACATTTTATTCAATTTGGCAAAAATAATATTTGAGGCTTCTCATTGAAAGCATGGTGGTTACCTGACACTAGAGCTGTCTCTGTCCTGATACTCTGATGTCTAATCTTAGGTCATCTCCGCTTTGTTGGGAGTTAAATGCAGCTTGATTATACCTGTGTGCTTGTATAGTGCTCCTAATTTGATTTTGCTAAGATTTTTCCCATCAATCCACAAGTGAGAGTGGAGCTGGTTTCCTTTATCACCAGCAGGCTCTGTTGTCTTCGTTAAATTCTTGTGGTAAGATAGTTGGGTGCTTTCCCATCTCATTCTATGATTTGAGTTAGTAGGCGGTCCTTAGAACCTTCTTTGGGGGCATTTTAAAAGTTATCTCCACAGTTTAAATCTTCTTACTTATGTCTGGATATGAGGCGCCCAATGTTTTAAAAATGAATTAGCCTGAGATATGGTGACTGCTGAGATTGTACCGACACATGATTCTTCTTTCCTATAAGTTTTCAGTGTCCACATTTTAGCTTGTTGCCTTTATTCAGCTTGACTTAGAGGGAAACCCAAACTTTAACAGATGAATTGCTAATTTAGCTTCTTTTCTTTTCTTATCCCTTTCTGGCTTTTTGTCCTTTTTCCCAATCTCCCCCACTCCTCTGTACCACCAGCTGACAGTTTCGCCATTTTGATTCAGTCCTTCAGTGACCCGGGTGGAGGTTATTGTGCCTGTGTTTTTAATATCTCTGCAGTCCATGCTTCCTTGGCCTCTGAGTTCCGTGGTAGAGTGGACTTTCACTGTTAAAGCTTGACTGCACACCCAGTGGCCCTCTAGCTTTTTCCTCCCCTTGCCCTGTACTTACTCATGGTGTAAACGGGATAGCTTGAGGTTACCTTGTGAGCTCGTTCCTAGTCCCTATTTTATCAAAGAAGGAACCCAAACTTCGAGAAGCTATGAGGTTAGCCTTGTGTCAGACACACCAGAGAGCCAGAATTTAAACTCAGATCTCCTGTAGTCATTATCTGACTGCTAATCGATTGTCCTTTTTAGCTCATTGTTTCTGATAATATTTTAGAAAGTGAAGGTTTGAGCTGACTATATAAGAGGTGGTGGCTTTGCTTAGCTCAGGCCACCATGCTCCGAGGCCTGAAGCCAAGCGCTCCACAGCTGGAAGCTGCCAGAGGCCATGGGCGCACCACAGCTAGAAACAGCCAGCCAGAAATACTGGTCCTGACACCCACAAGACGCCAGCGTGGGAGATGGCTCTGCCAGTCTACCACACTGTCTCTACAATGCTTGGCTGAGCCCAGACCATCCCGCAATTCACGCAGTATCTGGTAGAAATGAGACTCTAATGCTTAATTATTATCCAAAGGCTTTATATGTTTGGTAATGTTCAATTAACAAGAAGCCCACACAATTAGAAGTGTAAACCAATAACTAACCTAGATATTACAATTACCTTATTATATTACAGACACACGCGCATCTGCCGCCATCTTCCCCTCTCTCCGGTCCCCTTTTCTTAGCTCCTTCCAACTCCCCCCACATTACTGAGTTTATTATAAACTATCCGGCTACAGCTCATCTGTCTTTTATCTCTCGTTAACTTTCTCAGCATCTCTTCCCAAAGCCAGCCTTTCCTCAAGTCCTTTAAAGAAGAACTCTAGAATCTTTGTTTTTATGCAAAATCATTGCCACTGTGTATTCTTTCTCTGAATGTGAGTGATACGGGGTCTAGAAAGACTACACAGCACCTGTGGCCATCTCTCTGTCCCTGGCCAATTCTATCCCACATCTGTGCCTTGTGGTCAGGTGATGCGCACAGCTTACTGAGCCCCAGAACTGAAGAGAAAAGCGTGTTCTGCCCTGCAGAGCCATTTGACCAAGTTTGTTTCCTTCTCCTGTGGCCATTGGCTCTTCTGCCAACCTTGAGTGCAGTGAACTGGCTCTGCCCAGCTCTGTCCCGTCAATGTTTTACTTTTGCATATGGCCCAGGAGACTCTTCTCTCCTCCTGTCCTGTCTACTGAAAGTCACCAAGACCTCTTGACTATGTATAGAAGGGTAAAGAGGTAACCATTCTTTGGTTGTGAACAAAATTATCACTCCCAGGCTTTCTCCTGTCTCTGTTCAGGTAGGTGGAAAGGCTACTGTCCAGAGACCAAGTAGTGTGGGTCAGCTCTGTTGGCCTTAAACTCTGGGGAACAGTTTCAAGATTCTAGCATTATAAGCTGTCTTCCCAGTGTCATGTCCTGAGCTTCCACCATTCTCTTCATCATCATGTGCTTCCATCTTTCTCTGTTTTTGGCTAGATATTGGCTAAAGGAAGAAGCGCTAGGAGAACAAGATGCTCGCCGGACCCCTCAGCACAGCTCATCTCCCTGGTTGTTAAACTTAAGGAGTCTGTACAAAATCCCATTCTGTGTAGGGCTACTCACTAGTGACAGCCAGTTCTTGATCAGCTAGACCAGTGGTTCTCAGTGTTCCTAATGGTGCAACCAGTTTCTTGTACTTTCCCATAGATGTACTGAATCTAAACCCTGGGACTGGAGGCCTCAGAACTTATAACAGCATTTTACACAATTATTTTGTACATGGAAATTTGAGGACATCTGAGCTGAGGTAATTCTCATTCAAATCCTGGGAATTTACCTTGCTAGGAATAGACTCTGTGTGTATGTGTGTGTGTATCTCTCTCTGTGTGTGTTCTTCTCACTAGGAGAAATATATACTCTGACCACATGCT